CCCCTTAAAATATGCTACAATTCCACTTCCAGGAGAAATTCTGTACCTGGAAAGGTGGTAAAGGAAATACTAGATGGTTCTGGGGACCTATATTTTGGTCATCAACAAACTTCTTCCTTCCTTCCTGATCCACCAGGAAGATTTCTGGGGATTTTTAATGTTCTCAAGCATATAATAGGTACTAAGACAACAATCTTAGACAAGTTTTACACTTCAGGTATTCAACCAGTCATGTGAAAAAGTCATAACTCATGACTGGTCCAGATATACACTAGTTTGCAATTTTTAATTCCCTTTCTCCAAAGTGTCAGAAATCATCCACGGCAGATGATTAAATGCTCATCACAAGCAAAAGAAGAAAAAAAATAAATCAAAAGAGACCACAAATTAAGCTATAATCATTCAGATGATTTGAGTCAGTGAGGGAGGACTTACACATGTTGATTACTCTATTTGCAGTTTTCTTTACAAACACTTCTCCTGCTAAATAAACTTACAAGTAAATTTTTCCCATATCCACAAACCTGAGGCTTATATTTGTGATTCTGGTTCAGCTTAAACAAACTGGTAGTAAACGGATTCAACTGCTCCAATTTGTAATTAAAGGTACCTAGTAGCATGACCCTGTAGAATTTAAACAGTTTGTGCTTCCAACTCCCTTCTATCAAGAGGGATAATATTGCCTACATACCTCACAGGGCATTGTCAAAATTAATTCATTGCTTAAAAAGCAGTCTGATATCCTTAGAGGGATGATAGAAATAAACATTAGTGCTGACACATGATACAGCTAGGCTCTTCATTTTTTATTTGAAACATTTATTAGTCACTATTATTCTATAACTTTTTTTAGTGTTTGCTCCTTTTGTCTTCAACAGATACCAGACTATCTGCAGTCAGCTTAAATGAAACAATAAAACATGAAAGCATTTAGATGTCCTTATAATACTCCAAGTTCAGATTTGCATGTGTTTGCAAACCGTTCATTGCACTAACCATTTATATGAGGGGAGAGTTCTCTATAAAATCAATAGTAAGATCTTTTCAAAAGGTAAATGCATAGCCATGTATTGAAAAGCAAGGTTAGACCACATTCAAAGGAGCAGTAGTAAGAACTAGACAAATTATTCAAGTTTACATCAACTCAGAGACAACAAAGACTGAAAGTCACTGCCAGTACTCATAACACGGCTAGTACATAAGAGCACGTACATTTATACTTGAGTTTAAAATAGTGCACACTAGCTCCACTAAACAACAAATTTACTCAATATTAAGCAGGTCCAAGTTCAGTCAACTCAGTATGGCACTGGGTTTGAAGGAAATCTCTCACTGGTCTGCACTTCCAGGGCCTGGAGCGCTTTCAAGTGAGAAGTACCCATCCCACCTCTGAAGGAAACCTATCTGGCAGTACTTGGCAGAAACCTTCCTCTTCCCATACCTGAGCCTAGTGCAAAGCTTCATCCTTTCATCCCCCACCTTATCCTCAAATAGATGTACGGAAAACACTGCTAAGATTCGTGATGATGACAGCAACAATATCCAAGACAGAAGACAGTCCTCATAGCAACAAAGGCTAGTAAAAGACAGAAGAAAAAGAGGCTGTGCACTTCCCCATGAGTGGGTGCCCAAATGCAGCAGCAAGTACATGCAGCATTCAAGTGCATGTGACTGGGCAGCAAATCAAACAAGCATGCTAAGGTTTCAATAGCATTAAATACAGAATACATTCTAAACTCATTTCCTTTTCCTATCAAAGTAAACTACCTTGGAATTTATTAGACTAGGTATCTTTTGAGATTAACATAGCAGGACTACATTAAAGAGAGAGAGGAAAAGACACACTGGCAACATTTGGAACACCTGGGTCAAAAACCATTTTATCATTATTGGCAGGATTTGAACAAAATTATTATGCACAACTCAACTGGCACTACAATTCCCTTTACTGCTGAGTCACAGGGAAACAGTGCCTCATAGCACTTTTTATATGCCGTGTAAAAAAGAGGCTTTTCACCAATATGTATATTTTTTTTAACAGTAAAACATTTGATCCTTGAGCATCATTTGGCAGCCTTTAGGGAGGTCACCTTCCTAACTGTACATAACCCTACGCTTACACAGGACCTGCATCCCCCAGGCACCCCACAGCTGAGAGAGCACATGCTGTGCACACTAGGACACGTCTGGCCCCAGGTTGTCCCCACTCTGTGGAAAGGACATTCCAGGGCCAAGGTGGCAGATACAAAGTAAGGAAACTGAACGGCCTCAAAACGTCTTGGAAGGAAGCGGCCTGGGCATCATACAAAGCTGCTCTGTGTATGCCCACAATTATCTGTGGTTAAAACCTTATTTTCAGACATGCACTAGTGGGATATACAGTACCAGGCATAAGACTAAATATCCTATTCAACATACATGGCACAATGAAGAAGATAAAAAAACCCAGAAGAGCAGAAAAGATCTGGAGAAAGACAAGGACTCTAGCAGTACTACTGCAGGATTATGCAGTAGAGGACAGAGAACACAATGTGGTAGTATAACAT